GTGGCTATGATGTTGACATTTGGTTATGTCCTTCTAATGGAAATTTATTATTTATTTATTTATTCATTCATTCATTCATTTATTTATTTATTTAAATTTTTATACCGCCCTTCTCCCGAAGGACTCAGGGTGGTGTACAGCCATACTAAAACAACATATACCCATAAAAAGACATGAAATGTCTTTCTTCTTCTATATATTGGTTTTATATATCATAAAGGGGATTATAGGGAATAAATTAGATCACATTATGGGACTTTTTGAGTAGAAGCAGATATGGAGGCAGTGGTGGGATTCAGCCGGTTCGGGCCAGTTCGGGCGAACTGGTAGTTAAATTGCTGGGTGGCCCCACCCCTTCTTGTACCGCCCCTTCCAGGAGTCCCAACATGCCCCATTTTGGCTCCCAAGTAAGTGCAGGGAGGCTTCTTAGGGGCACAGGGCCCCCCATGGCCCATCTTCACTCCCAGGAGGCTGCAGAGAGGCCTACTAGGCACAAAATGGGATGCAGGGAATGTGGCATGCCCCCACCCCCATGGCCCGTTTTCACCCCCAGGAGGTTTCAAGGAAGCCTCCTAGGCCCAAAACGGGGTACGGGGGGGGGCGATGCATTCCCCCCACAACCCGTTTTTGCTCCCGGGGGGGTGCAGGAGGCCGAGTGCTGCCTGTCACACTCCCTGGCCACACCCACCATGGCCATGCCCACCCAGCATTAGGGCAGAGAATCGGTTGTTAAATTATTTGAATCCCACCACTGTATGGAGGGATTGTTGTTGGTTCTGAAAGCAATAAAAGATGGTTAATTTTCTACCTGAGAGTGGTTGCACGCGTGCTTCCAATTTGTTGAAGTAACCTGCATAATGATTTTTTTTTTAGTTCAAAGGTTATTGGAGCCTTACTTGCTTAGGTTAATCAATTCTCCCTTTCTTGCATTAGGTTGATTCAAAATCATCATCTCCATCTTCATCATCACCATCAATGTGGCAGTGGACTAAGACTGGGGAGAGACGGGTTCAAGTTCACCCTCAGCTGCAGACGTTCAGTAGGTTACTTTTGGGCCAGTCCCTCTCTTTCAGCCTAACTACCTGTGTATTTCCACAGCTTGAGGTAAGTTGGACTGAACAGAGAGACTGGCCAGAAGTTATTCTTAAAGTTAATTCCACGGTCAACTTGAGAATTTGCAATTAAATTACCCTCTGGTTATACCAGGCAAAATGTCCCAGTAAGAGCTAGTATCCTTTTAAAACAATGGTCATTCTTCAAGATCCAGAAAGACAGAAGACTGAGTATTAGTGTAATCAAGAAGATTAGAAGAAAACATTTGTGTTTTCTTCTAACCTGGGCTTGAGAGCCACAAGGTTTAGTGGTAAGGCACCAGGCTAGAAACAAGGAAACTGTGAGTTGTAGTTCTGCCTTGGCCACAAAAACTGGGTGACTTTGGGCCAGCTGGTCTCACTCAGCCCAACTCACCTCACCATGTTGTTGTGGACCAGGAGTAGGTTCTACTTACCTTTACTATTGGTTTGCAATGCAGTGCATGTGTGCGCTTCTGCAAATGTCAGATCATCAATTATGATGTCCAGGCAGGTGGGCAGAGCCTCCCACCACTTTTACTACCGGTTCTAAAGAACCGGGAGCAACCAACCACAGTTGTGGACTCTGCTTTTTAATTCTGAATTTGGGCTTGTATGGAGTCAACCTTATCTTTCAGTCAATCTTAACCCTCTAAAATTCATTCCTGGATCTCAGCAAATCGATTTTTTCCCCCTGATGCATCTCTGTCTTTTCCTATGCATTCTCTTTTACCTAGTACTAAAATCAGGTACCTGCATCTCCTATTAAAAATAATAGTGATGAAATAATACTTGCTGAGACTGAACTACAAACTGAAGCTTGGGTTGGAGTATCAAAGGCAGCCTTCTCTTCTCTTCTCTTCTTTGCTACTTTCGCAACAACTTCCCAATGTCCTTAACATTTTTATGGGGAGTTTTCCTAGCGTACGGATGGGCTCCACGCCAGTGGTGAAATCCAATTTTTTTTACTGCCGGTTCTATGGGCATGGCTTGGTGGGTGTGGTGTGGCTTGGTGGGCATGGCAGGGGAAGGATCCTGCAAAATCTCCATTCCCACCCCACCCCAGGGGAAGGATATTGCAAAATCTCCATTCCCACCCCACTCTGGGGCCAGCCAGAGGTGGTATTTGCCGATTCTCCGAACTATTCAAAATTTCCGCTACCGGTTCTCTGAACTGCTCAAAATTTCCAGTTCTCCAGAACCTGTCAGAACCTGTTGGATTTCAGCCCTGCTCCACGTGCAGCTTGTGTTGGCAAACACAAATTGTGATGTCAGGCATGCATATGTTGCTTAGATGTTACGAGAGAGAGGAGTGGAAAATATTGCCTGTCCCTTGATGGAGAAACTGTCACAGATACATAAGATGCATTATTTATTTCTGAACAAACCCCGGTACAATTCCCCTGCGGATGCATGGCAGGGAAGTAAGGTTTATGATAGCACAAGGGCAGCAGCTAATTAAATTTTAGTTATTCTGTGTAACACTTTGGGAAGATGAAATGCATAGGGACAAAAGCCTAATGTTTGCTTTGCAGACTTATTGAACCAATGTTATGGGTTAATTTACTATATGGGAGATTTTTACAGCATCAGCAACCGCCATAATTTCTAAATTCATCCCCGTTAGACAGTAAAACTAGTTATATATTTTGACTGTTATCCAAGAATATATTTAAGCTTTTTTTATTGCTATTATTGTTGTTTAAGCTGACATTAGACATTAGTTCCCAGATAAATCTCTGGGATATATCGAGTGACATTATTTATACCAGTTTAATCAAAGCTGGATGTGAATTTAAGAGATAGAATTTCTGATTTTGGTGCAATCGTTAATTCTTTTGGGTCATCCGAGGACTTTGATACATCAGATAGAGCATTCAGTTTACCCCGAACAGTAAGAATCTAGTTTGCTTTTGTCTCAGTTTTAGCGTCTCGTGGGTTTCTTTCAAATTTAAATTCACTGGGTTGGCGTAGAGTCTATGATCTTAAAGTTCCTGAAAAAGCTATACACAAAAGACAAGATAAACAAAATGTAACATAAAATATCGTTCTAAAGGGAGACTTTAAACTGCAAGATACACTCTAAAAATTAATATTTTATCTTTAACTTGCAATTTCTTAAATTGGTTATTGTATAGGCTATCTTTTTATCCATGTCTTTCATCTTTGCTCAAATATCTACAGAATATTTGGTTGATTTGTACTATTCCTTATTGTAGCATGACTACCAAGTCTCCTTGGTTTCACTTTTTGTTTCCTGTTCACTCAAAGATAAACTTATTTCTATTGGAGTTATTAGCATCTCATCGCATGCCACCATTTTCTCTCTTATGTACAAAGGCGTTCCCATCGTGGAAACCTTAAGAATGTAGTTCCCAACTAATCTTCCCTTTTTCACTTTTATGAATGTGATCATTATCTCTGGGACTCATCCTCCCAAAACACTTCCCTTGAGGTGCTCTCTCTATCATCTTTTAGAAGGTGGCCAGAAGCATCTGTTTGCATCTGTCACAGCTTCTTCTTCTTCTTTGTGGAGTTACTTATAAGGCGAACAGATGTTTCAGAATGTAATGATCAAAGAAACCTTAGCAAGTGTCATTTTGATTCCTGATCTTTAAGAAAGTCTTTTTCCATTACCCATTTTCAAGTTTAATAAATGGCCATCAGCATTTGTATGTGATTGCATAATAACTTACGGTCTTTTCGCCAATGTTAATTCTCTTATTCCCAGACAGGGTTTTTTGCAAGTCTCAAAGTTTCCTTGGTCTTGCATTCACCAAGCTGGGTACTGGCTGGAGTTGATTATGTCCATTTGAATGTCAACCACTGTGTGGAGACACAATTATATTATATTAATTATATTAATTAATTATATTAAGCAGGCTACCTATATACGTGTCCTTGTCAATATAGCATTGTTTTAAAAGAAATCATATTTCCCAATTGTTACAGATCTCTAATCCTGCGTTTGTCCTGCAGATGTTGTGGGGAATAAAGAATGAGAACTTCATATAAAAACATGATCCTTTTCCCTCCGGAAAAAAAAAAATTAGGGAGATTTAGGATTTAGACATTCCTTTCCATGAAATTGGGGAAGAAAAAATAGGTATCGTTTTTGATTTAGGGATCTTTTCATAGGGGGAAAAAAGATGTTTCCATAAGGAAAAGAGGGGAACATCAATTGTTGAAATGCTGGGATTTCTTGAGAAAAAATAAAATGGGAATTAAAACCTCAGTTGAAAAGAATGTTCACCCATGCACAGAAGTGTTGGTCTGTCTCCTATTCTCACAATTTCATGGTAATGTACCGCTTTCTTTGAGAAGTAGCACGACTAACAGCTTAGCTTCTCAATTGCTATGCTGATCAGTGATGGGATTCAAACATTTTTACTACTGGTTCTCTGGGCGTGGCTTGGTGGGCATGATATGGCTTGCTGGGGGTGGTTTGGTGGGCATGGCAGGGGAAGGATGATGTAAAATCTCCATTCCCACCCCACTCCAGGGGAAGATTACTGCAAAATCCCCATTTCCTCCCAATCATCTGGGACTCGGGAGACAGAGAATAGATGGGAGCAGGGCCAGTCAGAGGTGGTATTTACCGGTTCTCCAAACTACTCAAAATTTCTGCTACCGGTTCTCCAGAACCTGCTGAATACCACCTCTGATGCTGATAACATTGTAAAATGACATGTAATTATTTCACCGATTACTGCTCCAAAGAAGTCTGTGGCCATCTTGTTATCTGTTCATCTGGATTGTCATTCTTGTGGATTTATTTATGACTTTTTATTTACTGAAACAAGAGGCCTCCTCAATATCCTTTGTAAGTCCAAGCCTTCTACATCACGGAAGCTTGTGCAAGGAGATCTGAGGATCAGGCCGTTAAAAAGTAGAATATCACTATTAAATCACAACTCGTATAATTTACAGATTTTAGCCGACCTAGAAAACCATGCACTTTTTAAAGATGACTTGGAATGTCAGAAGCTGATTCTGGAAGCCATGAAATACCATCTTTTACCAGAAAGACGAACACTTATGCAAAGTCCAAGAACAAAGCCAAGGAAATCTACTGTTGGGACCCTGTATGCTGTGGGAGGAATGGACAACAATAAAGGTACCAGTTAATAGTTGTTTTCCAGACAGACATGGAAAAGGATTACTTTTCCTTCGTGTACTAGCTACAGTAATGGCCAAAATTGTGGCCACTACTAATTTTTGAGGTTTGATGGCTAATAACACCACTTTTTTTGGGGGGGGGGGAGTTTCAAGATTAATCATATTCCACTGCTGGAATGGCCTGGGAATAGCCCAGACCTTAACCCAATTGAAAATCTATGGAGCCGATTAAAGAAACTAGTTAGTCAGAAGCGACCCAGCAATAAAACCCAGTTAATAGAAGCCATCATTCAATCTTGGTTTCACATTATAACAGCTGCAGAACTAAAAGACTTGGTTCACTCCATGGGAAGATGTTGTAAAACCGTAATTCATGCTAAAAGTTACCCAACTAAGTATTAACTGACATGGTGATCATTTTTGTATATCTCGTTTTTTCTATGGTGATAATTTTTGTATATCTCATTTTTTCTAGCGTTTCACTTTTCTTCTTTATACTGTAACTGCTATTCTAATAGCAAATCCTTCCTAAAAGTTATTGCATTACATTCTTGATTAAATTATCTTTCCATTGATATATAATTTTATGGTGCTACTCAAAAAAAAAAAAAAAAGTGGCGTTATTAGCTAGTTTTAGAAAATACACTTTTCCCAAAGGGTTTCCACAATTTTGGCCGCTACTGTATATATCCACTCTTTTTAAACTTCTCTGGTATGACTAGCCATGGTGTCTTCAAGCTTGTATTGTAAATTACCGTCATCAGTTTTTGAGCGATTAAAAACTACATAAAGTAATAACAAAGAAAAAGCTCCAAGTTGACTGCAATGTGCTGAGTGGATAATGGTTTAAATATCTTGTGGTGCTTTACCTTTTTTGACAGTTGTAGCAAGTTGATGGAAGGGAAAATATATCTACTCATCTCCTATTGCTTTCTCTTAGGTCTCTCTGGTTGTTGTTTTTTTTAACAAAATGTTCCTTTTGACCAAAATCTTCAGCTTATTTGTTCGGTAATCTTGTCTCATCTAGATTGTTGGAAATAGTTTCTGGCAAGTGGAGCCCTGAAACAAAGCTGAATAAATATCCCATAGGCCATTTGTTGAACCACAGAAATCTAAAGTGTTTACTAGTGACATCTGCGGTGACAGCTACAAGCATCCGAAAATGGCTATGTGTATATACGAAGCCCTGCTCCTTTGCAATGTGCGTTGCACACAATACATGCGTGTAAAAAGGGGCAGGACTTTGATTTTCCAGCCCCACCTGCCATTTTGAAGCCAGGAATCATTCTTGGTCAGAAGACTGGAAAGAATATAGTTAAAACCAAATCCTCTTGTGCAGGGGTGAAATTTACTTACCTTCCCTACCGGTTCACCAATGCGCGTGCTTTACTGCCCATGCTCAGAGGCTTAAAATGTCGCAAGAAAGTGACGTCATGACATCCATGTGGATGGGCAGAGCCTACCCCAGCCACTGCTACCGGTTTGCCCAAGCCGGATAGAACTGGCTAGATTTGACCTCTGCTCTTGTGATACTCTGTTTGGATAATAATCCAAGCTGGAGCTGTTCTGGGTTCCTGTTCTGTAGAAAATGCTACTGCATGGAATATTTAAATTAAAAGTATATAACAAACCAGCTTCACGATCATATATAGATTGCTAAACAATTTTCAGAGGCATAATTGTATTCTTTCTTTTGAATGTTAGACAAAACACTTTCAAAACTGCTAGCTTTTCTAGCCAGTGGCCTTGAATTTATAATTGCAATGTAGTTTACATATATTAGATTTTCTCTACAATAATTAAAATTGACATTTTTCAAGTGTATTCTTCTAAGCCTGATTGGGGAAAAACTACAGTCCATTGGACAAGAAAAAATGAATGGCGTTTGATGTTTATGGCACTGTAACGCCTTCGGTTAATTTACTTCTTTTTCCTTTAAGTGTGCATGTGGTTTACATTTTGGAAGGTTTGACCTGTTCTTTTATATTGTGTCCTATCAAAATTAAAAAAAAACCTTCTTTATGTAGTTGTGAAATAAATATTTTCATGAACCCGTATGGTCTTTTGAATCTGACGATGAGCTGGGAAAACTGCCAAGTAATAGTTGCTAATGTATTTCCAGTTTTTATTATTAGACCAATAATTCTTCCTCTACAGAAAGAAATCAACAATCTGCTTTCATGACGATATAAAATTAACAGTTACATAAACATTAATAATGCACTAGTGTTTATGAACACCGAGAACAAATTCACCTTGAGGTTTGGCTAAAGATAATCTTGGGAAGGTTTCCAGGCAAAGTAGGTAAGGCTAGTGACATTTTTGAAGACAATCTGCCCCTCGTGGATCAAAAGTGATGATCTGACAGAAAAAAATGTTGATTTAATTTAAGACACTACTTTGCTTTTTAAATCGGGTATCCTTTTTAAAACTTCTTGGAATGACATCCTGATATGCTCGCTGTTTGAAAAACCAAGACCAAAAGAAATTACAGTATGGTGTTTCACAGGCATGAAAGAATTAAAAAGAAAAAGAAGAAAACTCTAAAGTTTTTCTGAGCCTCTGAACCAGCTCATAATAAAAATCTATATAGATAGATAGATAGATAGATAGATAGATAGATAGATAGATAGAAAGAAAGATAGATAGATAGATAGATAGATAGATAGATAGATAGATAGATAGATAGATAGATAGATAGATCATGAAATTTCCAGAACTGTAAGGCCTACAAACTTGAAATTTTGCACGTATGTTCCTCTTGGCTTCTATGTGCTCGCTAAGAAAGGATTTTTCAAAATGACCATCAGATCATTAGTATTTCTTATATTATTATTAACACACTTTGATGCTAATTAGACATTCTATTCCCCCTCCCAACCTGAAAATAACTCTGGAGAGAACAGGATAGGATAGGAGAGGCTTTTGTGTGGCAACCCTGAGGGAGAGTAGGAGCTAGGACAGGAGAGGCTTCTGTGGGGCAAGCCTGAGGGAGAGAAGGGGATAGGACAGGAGAGTCTTCTGTGGGGCAAGCCTGAGGGAGAGAAGGGGATAGGATAGGAGAGGCTTTTGTGTGGCAACCCTGAGGGAGAGTAGGAGCTAGGACAGGAGAGGCTTCTGTGGGGCAAGCCTGAGGGAGAGAAGGGGATAGGATAGGAGAGTCTTCTGTGTGGCAACCCTAAGAGAGATAGGGGCTAGGACAGGAGAGGCTTCTGTGGGGCAAGGCTGAGGGATAGAAGGGGATAGGATAGGGGAGGCTTCTGTGGGGCAAGGCCGAGAGGGAGAAGGGGATAGGATAGGAGACGTTTCTGTGGGGCAAGCTGAGGGAGAGAAATGGAGAGGAGAGGCCAATCATAACTAATTTTCAAGCTGTAAGTGTTGATTTATCAAGCCCGATCACATAGTTTCATAGCGGAGCATGGATATTCAGCTAGTAAATAATAAAAACATACATATTTTCCTGACAAAGTACTAAACATTAAAACTTTGCAAAATTTCACCAGGAACGTTAGCGATAATCCCAAATTTCTCCCCAGAGAAGAGAGTTCAGAAAAAGGCAGAGCTTTGAACTTGGATAAAACTTGCTGGAGATAATAAAAAAAAATCTGGACCAGAACTAGTAGCTTTTATGAACAAAAAGCAAGACAAAATTTGGAAGGGGAACATACAATCAAAATGCTGACCTATCCAGAAAAAATAATAATAATTGTGTTTGGATTAGGGTTTTCTTTATTGCTTTGATAAATAAGTGCATGTCTTCTGGATAAAGAACAGTGTGGCACACATAATTCAGGAAATTTTAATTTTCTTTTCAACACAACAAACCATTTGTTTATAACACACTCTCCTTTGGGGGATAGTCTGGCCACCATAAAGAATAATAATAATAATAATAAAAGTTAAATAGCAATTAAAATTATACAACAATAAAAGCAAGAGCCTTCGGGATATATTTACAATTTTAATAAAGACAGGGGGTGCACAGTTACAACGTCTTAAGCCTAGGTATCATCTAACTCAGGGGGTATCAAACTCAATTTAATTGAGGGCTGCATCAGGGTTGTGTTTGACCTCATGGGACTGGGATGGGTGTGGCCAAGATGAGTATAGCCTGCTCGACATCACTCGTGTTGGTGGCGCTTGTGGTGGCCCAAGTACTCTGCTAGCAAAAACAGGCTCCCAAGCTTCATTTTTGGCTGCGACGGCTTCCTGCAACTCTCTGCCAGTGAAAATGGAGCTAAGGAAGGCTGCCTGAGACCCTCCTGAGCTCTGTTTTTGCTGGCAGAGGCACCACTGTTTCCAGGGGAGCCCCATGGGACAGATTTAAGCACCCTGCAGGCCAGATCTGGCCCCCGGGCCTTGAGTTTGACACCCCCGATCTAACTGATATCACTGACGTCAAAGCAGTCTTAGGGCCAACCTCAGCAGTGCTCACCATCCTTTGCACCAACTCCCCACATACATCCAAAGTTGTGCGGAGCTGGAATATGGAGAAAACAAATTCCTACACTAATTTCAGTCTTTTTAGCAGTGGTCACCAACTGGTGATGCGTGGACCACTGGTGGTCCACGAGAAAATTTTGGTGGTCCACAGAAAAATTATTTGCATTTTTTATATTGCACTGAATCAGGGGTTCTCAAACTACAGCCCCTGGGCCAGATATGTGTAATGAATGTATGTGTTGCTGCAGAGAGTCTCCCCCTTTGGTGTCATTTTGTGCAGGTCAGAGGGGGACAAAAATTCCAACTTGGGGTCTGCTTCAGACTCCTGGTGTAGAGCTTTGGGCGAAGGCTGGAGAGAAGCACCGCTGGTGGCGAAGAGCCGTAGGGCCTTGTTCCAGTGGAACTGCCTCATGGCCTGGAACTGGCTGACCATCTCAGCCCGCTGATCCAAGGCCAGGTACCGGCAAGGCGCCGGTACCTGGCCTTGCACTCCCGCAGGTCTTCCCTTTGCTTGGAAAGCCTATGCTCGTAGTGAGGTGCTTCTGCTGAGCCTCT